CGACGTCACAACTGACGTATGAAACCATGACTTTATTTTTAGTATGTTTCCAAGAAATACCAATATATAACGAACAACTATACATACAATAACTAACAACTATACATAAAGAAAAACCTTATACTCCAATATTATCGTTTAATTTTTCACTGACAATGATTTCTATAGTGTTTTAACATTTTAAAATTGATTATTATATGCAAAGCAAAGAAGGATGTTATTATTATTATTTTGCATAAAGACATTATAATGAAAATGTATACAGCAAATAAAGTTGGCAGACTTTGGATATCGTGGAAGGGCAAGATCTGCAACAAGATTCAACTTTTTCATATATCTATGAATGATCTGAGTGGATACAATAATTGAGATTTCTTTATTTGCATGTTGACTCAAGCATAAACGAAAATTAATTAAAGATGTCGATTTATAGTTAAACTTTAGAATATCTCATGTTCGATAAAAATGAACAAATAAAGAGAATATAGTAACCGAAAAAAGAAGGAAATGAAAAGATTCCGATTGGTACGCCATGCATGAAGAGAATCAAAATGGAAATGTTGGAGTCGTAGATGTTTCAGAAATAATTTGTAATTCCAATCCAAATTTGGGTGACCTAACGGTAGGAGAACATGCAAAACATGCTCTCATCCTGTGTTCAAATCCAAGCGTGTGGAGGGGCATTCACCTGGACTTCCTCGGTACTATGTGAGATGTAGTCGAGCCAAAAGCTCGGTGAACTTCCGGATTATCCAAAAAAAAAAATTGTAACGCCATGCATATGTGTGCGTATATATATATATATATTACGGGTTTTGGATTTGTAAGAAACGGATACTGTCGAGTACCCGCAAAGCGCGGGGTACCCGATCAACAAAGGCGAGAGGCCGAGTCAGGGGAAGGGGAGAGGACGAGACAGAGAAAGAGGTATCCATGGAGTTTGGAGAAACCGGTGAAGTAGAAGGAGAAACTAACTTCAAAGTTCTACATCATCATTTGATCTGAATCAAGAACACAACCCCCACCTTTTGAATTGAATCCTCTGTTGACGAAACTTCAAAACTTTGTCCGGATTCCACCAGCTATTTCAACGACAAACGGTCCTTCGAGTGTTATCATCTGATTTAAGTACTAAACCCGGATACAAGTGGATGTATCTATCATAGGATCGGATCAGTCCATCCTTCCCTTCAGGATTCCTTCCCTAACTTCAGTCGGAGTTCTGGAACAAAATCGAAACGTAAAAGAACATGTTAAGGAGGATGTTCTCTCTCGAGGGCTAGACGTGAAAAGAAGAAGAAAAAATAACATGAGAGCGCAAGAACTTACACAACGTAGACATGCCCTCCCCAGCCACTCAGACAATCACGGTCTACCGATGAGAGAAGTGCTTGTGAGATTGTCTCGAACAATTCCTCAGCTTCCTGAACATCCCATTCGTTATCACGCAACAACCAGTCAGAGACGGAATCTTGATTCATACCCATACTTTGCATTATATACATATGAATCATAAGATAACCCGTTTAGCACACGATGCACTCAGGACTGATCATTTGGGGTAAAATACAACAGAAACTCATCATTGGTGTAACCGACAAGCTCGATTTTTAGGGATATCTCATTCTTCCGTGGACCAGTGGTTGTATAAGCATCATAAACATTTGCATTGAACATATCTGGGGAGAGAATAGCAGAAGATAAAATGTTAGAAGGGGACAAACCATATCGGGTTTGAACATTGCTTCACAGGCTCCATAAAGTGATTCAGAAGCAGTTCCAGAAACAACAAAATCTTTAGCCAACTCCCTACAGTCAGAACAAAAAAACAGCAAGAATTAACGATGTTCACAGTTTATCCAGCCATGGCTGAAATGACATCACGTCCAAGAATGGCACATTACTTAATTAAAAGAATCATCAAAGTGATCTTGAAACTATAAGCAGAACTCATTTAAATGGAACACCACAAGCAACAATAGCAAGAAATCAATGTTCGTTATCCGCATATCTCTGATATAGAATCATAAGCTCCTATCTCAAAAAACCAGAGACTCGGGTAGGAAAGGATGTAAACGTACTTGGCTCCAATGGAATCCATTGTGCAAATGAATGGTTTATCATCATCTCCCAATCCAGCAATCACAGGTTGGCACAAGTATGGACCAAATCTGAAACAGAACAACCAAATTCGATCATCCTTCTAAAGCATAACTCAGAAAAAAAGCTTGCTTTTCCTGCCCAGACACAAAGGTTGCAGCTTTGCAATAGACAGATATCTAGAATGGTCGAGTTATTACAATAAACCATAGAAGAAAGCAACTTGATCAGAAAAAAAACCAGCAACAAAAGCGGGCAGAATCACCGACCTCTTCTCATAAAGAATGGCAGAAACAAGGCTGGCGAAAGTTTCAGGCTTCATGTCTCTCTCTTCCCGAAGCTGGTAGAGCTTATGACGAAACACGAGTCGCTGGTACCTTCAACCAAAATCCCAAAAGTCGAATCCCTAGATTTCGTCAATTCACAACGAAGACAGGAAGAAAACACATGAAAATGGAATGCCCAGAAGATTTCATGAGATCTACAATGTCTGGACATCGGTTGCGAGACCGGAGAGGCCGATGAAGAGCCGGTCATGGATCCTGTAGATTCTCTGGAAATCGGTAGCGATGGTCTGTAACTGAACGCCGAGCCTCCGGTCACTGGCGATGGCGAAGCAGTTCTTCCCGACCATAGCCACAAGGGCACTTCCATTGTATTCGAATATCTGCATCGACATGCCATTCAAGCCAACATCAATTCATTGCCAATACGAAACAGAAACTTGGGTTCTCCAAAGCTAAGAAACCGAATGTGATCACCTACCGACATCGTAAAATTAGGGTTGTTGGATGGAGTTTTTTCCCCACGGTGAAGAAATATGAGCAGAAGAGAAGGGCTGCAAAGAACAGTAAATAGTCGTCGATGGCTTGGAAGAAAATCCAAGCGATTTTTCTTCCAAAATAACAATATAGGACCTATAATTTGAAATAACTCACATTTCCTCCAAAAATAATTTGATTTAACATTAAAGACCCTGTATTCGAACACACAACCATTACCCATATAGAGAAACTATTGAAGGTGTTCAGTGCTCTATTAAGGAACTCTGTGTCCTTCAGTCAACTCCATTTGGCCTTAGATCAGTTTCAGATTCACCAAGTTCAAGCCTTTTGGTTCTCTTTCAGACAGTTCCATTGACGTGAGATCGGTTTCTAAAGCTTCTGTTTGGTTAAGCGGATTATGTTATCCCGGAGTTGCTAATAAAATAGTGCGTTACGAAAGAAAGACAATGGCGTGAAGTTTGAAGAAAAAAAAAATAGAGAAGGGGCAAAAAGAAATCTGCTGTATTGCTTGCAAATTGCAATAGCTGGAATCAAGAACTGAGGGAGAGAGAGAGAAAACGCTGTTCGCTCTCCTCCGTCTCTGTGATTTGATCCTATAACCACCAATCGCAGACCCCACACACCTCTTTCTCTTTCTCTTTCTCTTCCACGAGAATGCCAGCTTCTGAAGGTAAATTGCAAAACCCATGTGAACTCTCTCTTTCTCTTGGTTTCAATCTTGTTCCCCCTCGCAATTCAAATTTGAAGTCCAATTTGATTCAAACTAACTTCAAAGTTCTACATCATCATTTGATCTGAATCAAGAACACAACCCCCACCTTTTGAATTGAATCCTCTGTTGACGAAACTTCAAAACTTTGTCCGGATTCCACCAGCTATTTCAACGACAAACGGTCCTTCGAGTGTTATCATCTGATTTAAGTACTAAACCCGGATACAAGTGGATGTATCTATCATAGGATCGGATCAGTCCATCCTTCCCTTCAGGATTCCTTCCCTAACTTCAGTCGGAGTTCTGGACCGTTGGATTTGTGGTCGCAGAGAGGCGCGGGAGATGGAAGCGGAGGCGGCGAGGCGGATTGGCGGCGAGGAAGCCAAAGCAGGAGGAGGACGATGTGGAAGACGAAGAGGAAGAGAATAACAACGATGAGGCCGAAGACGTCGACAATGCGGCGGAGGAGCTGCAGCAGAACGGCGGCGGTGGTGCGACGTCGGATCGGGGCCCCGGCCAGGGCGAGGTGCTCGAGGAAAGTGGTGCCCGTCTCTCCGACTTCCCCACGGTGGTAAGGCACGTTGTGGTACGGCCGCATCCGTCTGTTACAGCGATTGCGGCGGCGGAGAGGGCTGGTTTGGTTGGGGAGACCAAAGGGCACGGTTCTCTCCCGGCTTTGGAGAATGTTTCTTACGGACAGCTTCAGGCGTTGTCTTCTGTGCCGGCAGACTCTCCTGGACTTGATCCTGAAAGGGAGGATGGGTCTTATGTTATCTCTCCCCCTCCTATCATGGAAGGAGAAGGAGTTATTAAGCGGTTCGGGGATCGTGTTCATGTCATGCCTATGCATTCGGGTATGTATGATTCTCTGCAAAGGTGTGAACTTGACTGTATTTGGTAGGTGAAAGTGAAAGCTTGGTGTCTTTAGCTTCAGTTCCGAGTAACTTTTGCTGTTTCACATAAGTACATTTAGTATATACCATCCAAGGGATTTGGAACATTGTAGTCTTATATAGTCTGTTTGTGAGTAGGTCAATTTAATCTTCTGATAATTTGTCTTGAGGTTTCAAGTTGACTAACTGTTGGTGTTTAAAATGTAAGCAGATTGGTTTGCACCCCTCACTGTGAATCGGCTTGAGAGGCAAGTGGTGCCACATTTCTTCTCTGGAAAATCGCCAAAGCATACACCAGAAAAATATATGGAATTCAGAAACTCCATTGTTGCAAAATATATGAGCAATCCCGAAAAGAGACTCGTGATGTCTGATTGCGACGGATTGGTAGACGGTGTTAGTAATGAGGATTTAGCACGGGTTTTCCGATTTCTTGATAACTGGGGGATAATCAATTACTGTGCAGATGCTGAGAGTAATCCTGAATCTTCTAGTGATGTACCGTGTGTTATGGAGGACCCAAATGGTGAGGTTCATGTGCTGTCTGCTGCTCTAAAATCAATGGACAGTTTGATCAAATTCGACAAACCCAAATGTAGACACAAGGCGGCTGAGGTCTATCCATCCTTGTCATGTCATGATGACGAACCCTCTGATTTGGACAGCAGGATTCGTGAGCACCTATGTGAAATCCATTGCAGTCATTGTTCTCGGCCACAACCAACCATGTATTTCCAATCGCAGAAGAAGGTGCATAGCTTGCTTTCTCTGCTATTTCATCTTTTATGCATCTGGTTCTGGCAGTGAAATTCGGAACTGACAAACTATCTTGGTCTTGCATACTTTCTGATATTCAAACCTTTCAGACTAAAGTGTCCTCAACTTGACAGGGGGATGCACTCTTATGCGCCAATTGTTTTCACCACGGAAGATTTGTTATTGGACATTCTAGTATTGATTTTATAAAGGTAGGGCCAGCCAAAGAATATGTCGAAACAGATGGAGATAATTGGACTGATCAAGAAACTCTCTTGCTTCTCGAAGCCGTGGAACTCTATCATGAAAATTGGGTTGAGATTGCGGAGCATGTTGGGTCCAAATCGAAAGCTCAATGCATCCTTCATTTTCTCCGATTACATGTGGAGGATGGTCTTTTGGACAATGTTGAGGTTCCAGGTGTAACCAAATCAGCACATTCGGCAAATGGGTATGACCAAAGAGGAACAGACTCAAATGGGGATCTACCAGGTTCATCCCTTTTCTTCTCCCAAACAATGATGGGGATAGTAATACTTATTGCCTCTATGAAGTATTATAGTTTTGACATGTTATGATCATTGCCCATTTACCTCCTCAGGACCATCTGGTCAGGATTTGGATCTGGACATCAGTCTTCCTTTTGCAAAGTCTCCAAACCCAGTTATGGCATTGGTTAGTGAGTTTGCCTGTTATAGTTTAATATATTATTTTATTTTTCTTTGCAGTCCTCATTTTGTTTGACATATTTCTTTGGAAATATCCAATACCCGAATAAAATATGGGCCTTGGGCACACTCTGCAATCAAACGTATTTTTGAGAAGAGATATGGTAATCTCGATGAGTAGTAATTTTATGGATCCTCATAATGTGTAACATGGTAGGTTGCCTTTCTGGCATCAGCTGTTGGTCCTCGAGTTGCTGCATCATGTGCCCATGCTTCCCTGGCGGCATTGTCCGAGGATGATAGGTTGGTCCACGCAATCTACTTCTCATTCAATGGATTTTTCTCTCCAATTAGGATTTTGTTTCTTCATTCATTTTTGGTAGCTTTAGCTGAAATGGGTATAGGCATAGGGTCTTGTGGTGGTTGTCTGCAAGTAGAATGGGCATATGCGCTGTATATTTCTTCTGTATTAATGTATCTTTTGCTATAAATTACAACAAACATGCAATTTCTGATTGAAAAGTTGAAGAAAACTGAAAACAAGAAAGTGTGAATAACAAGGGAGCATTTATTCCTTTCAAGCTCGGTACACTGTTTGAAATTTCTTCTCGACTTATGTAGAATGAATCCCGAGGGGGTGCAAGGTAGAGAATCCAGCCTGCCTCTTGGAGAACATCAGCAGAATGATGGTAGACAATTCTCGATCAAACCTGCTTTTTTGAGGGTCCTTTCATCTTATTAGCTAATCTTGAATATTTATTTTCATGCTTTTGGGTTTGTGAAAGAAAACGCAAGAGCGCAAGCGACGCCATTATCATGTCAAAACGGAGCAGAGACAACTCTGCTGCCACTTCCACGGGATAAGATTATGCTGGCGGTTAGAGCT